CCTTTCCTCCTCTCTTCTCCTCTACTCCTCCTCTCTTCTCCTTTCCTTTTCTCTCCTCCTTTCCTCCTCTCTCCTCCTTTCCTCCTCTCTTCTCCTTTCCTCCTCTCTCCTCCTTTCCTCCTCTCTTCCACCTCTCACTGTCTTCTCCTCTCTCCGTCTTTCTCCTTTCCTCGCCTCACTTCCTCTCCTCTCTGCTCCTCCTTTTCTAATTTCCTCCCTTCCTTCTCTCCTCCTCTCTCCTCTTCTCCGCTCTCCTCCAACTGTCATTCTCCTCTCCTCCTTTCCCTCTCTCTTCTCTCCTCTTTCCTCAATCCTCTCCTCTCTCCTTTCCTCTCTCCTCCTCTTCTTTCCTCCTCTCCCCTCTTTCTCTCCTTTTCTCCTTTCCTCCTCTCCTCTGCTCTTTTCCTCTCTTCTCCACCTCTCCTTCTCTTTCCCTCTCCTCCTGTCCTCTTCTCCTTTCCTCCTCTCCTGCTCTTTTCCTCTCTCCTCCACTTTTCTCCTCTCTTCATTTTCCTCCTCTCCTCTTTCCTATCTCCTTCTCTCCTCTTTTCTCTCCTCCTTTCCTCTCCTCTCTCCTCCTTTCCTCCTCTCTTCATTTTCCTCCTCTCTCCTCTCCTCTCTCCTCTTCTCTTTCTCCTCTTTTCTTCTGGTGTAATTCTTATTCCAGTCCGGTTTTCACAGATTTTTCTCGAGTCTATTTTTGTATTTTTTCCGGAGGGATTTTTTGCAGCTGTCACTCAACTTTCCGCTCTGCTTCCTACATCCTTCCCTGTCTCCTTCTTTGCCTCCTAATTCCTCTCCTCGTCTCCTCATCTCCTTTCCTCGTTTCCTCTCCTCGTCTCCTTTCATCATCTCCTCTCTCCCTTCAGCAGATTCTTTTCAAACATCCCAGAGGAAGTTTTCTGGTTTGTTCTGATGGAGTTTCCTTGTTTCATTCACACAAACCGTCTCAGACTGAAACACTCTGCTCCACCTTGTGATGTCATCATGTGGTGATACAGGAAGAGCTCCACTGTGTTTTTAAACTCCACCTTCACTAGAATCATTTGGATCTTTTCAGTCCTGGATTTGTCGATCTGAACTGAACTGAAGGTGAAAGGAGCATTTTACTTGAAAACTACCACTGCATGACATCATAAGGTGGAACAGAGTGTTTGGAGCTTTGCAGATGTAGAGAGACTCATAATAAAGTGTTACTCAAACATGAAACACACACAACTCCAGCTCTGAGTGTGAGGAGGAGGAACATTAGAACATTTGACTTGTAGCTCAGAGTTTGTGTTTCAGAGAAACTTTAATTTTAATGAAAATCATCAACAGAAACAACAGGCTGAACGTCAGTCTGCGGGGGTCAGAGGTCAGGGTCAGAGGTCAGGGAAAAAACATTTCCTTTTTGTTTCACTTGAGCTGCAGAAACTTCACTTCAAACTTCACCAGCTCCAGACCTCTGCCTCCCTCTGCTGGACGCTCACGGGATTACACCTGGACTCTATGTACTACTGTGTACTACCGTGTACTACTGTGTACTACCGTGTACTACTGTGTACTACCGTGTACTACTGTGTACTACTGTGTACTACCGTGTACTACTGTGTACTACTGTGTACTACTGTGTACTACTGTGTACTACCGTGTAATATCATGAAGTACCATGTACTACCATGTACTATCATGTAGTACCATGGTAGTACATGGCAGTACCATGTAGTGCCATGGTAGTACATGGCAGTACCATGTAGTACATTGTAGTACTGTGTACTGTTGCTATTGCAGATGTAAATATGTGAAAACATCAGAACTCAGGATGAGACAAAACAATTTCCACAAGATGAGACCATGTCTCCTCTCTCCTAACTCCTCTCTCCTTGTCTCCTCTCTCCTTGTCTCCTCTCTCCTTGTCTCCTCTCTCCTTGTTTCCTAGCTCCTTAGACTTAGATTTTAAGTTTATTGATTTACAAAACAAAAGCCTCAGACACGTTTGTTCACACAAACAGTTTTATAAAAACAAAGAAAAATAGAAAAGGTGAAAATAAATAAAAATAATTTGTAAAATCAGGCTGGTGTCAAAGAAGACACTTTTCATGTGACTTTGTCACATTGAGCCCAACACAAATTCCCTCTGTGACCTGAGGGGGGCCACCGAGTCTCCCCCACCGAGTCTCCTCCGCCGAGTCTCCCCCACGAGTCTCCTCCGCCGAGTCTCCTCCGCCAAGTCTCCCCCGCCGAGTCTCCTCCGCCGAGTCTCCTCCAGCTCCCTGAGCCTCCGTCTGTTTCATTCACTCATGTCAGACATGTTTAGTTTTTGTTCTGTCATTATTTTAATTATTTTTCTCCTCTCTCCTTGTCTCCTCTCCCCTCATCTCCTTGTCTCCTCCTTGTCTTCTAGCTACTCGTCTCCTTGTCTCCTTGTCTCTTTGTCTCCTCGTCTCCTTGTCTCCTCCCCCCTCATCTCCTCTCCCCTCATCTCCTTGTCTCCTAACTCCTTGTCTTCTAGCTCCTCGTCTCCTTGTCTCCTCTCTCCTCATCTCCTTGTCTCCTTGTCTCCTTGTCTCCTAGCTCCTTGTTGCATTTGTTTTGATAAAACTGTGATTTCTTTTTATAGATTTTCCGTCTGTGTTTCTTCTGCCTCAGACTTTAGTTTCTTCTTGTTTTTTATTTGAAATATAAAGTTAAAAAATCTCCAAACAAAAAAAAAAAAAGAAACGTGTAAAACCCCCTCCCCCCTAGCCCCGCCCCCTCCAGACCGCTGCACTGTAAAAACACAAACTTTTGCCACCTGGAGAATTTTCAAAACAAACTGAACTCACCACAGACGAGAATCAAACCCACAACCTTGAGACCAAAGTCAACACCCAGACTGAATGAGGAGACGAGGAGACAAGGAGATGAGCGAGGAGACAGGGGAAAAACAAGGAGACGAATGAGGAGACAGGGGAGGAACAAGGAGACGAGTGAGGAGACGGGAGGAGACGAGCGAGGAGACAGCGAGGAGACAGGGGAGGAGACGAGGAGTGGAGGAGACAAGAGAGGAGACAGAGGAGGAGACAAGGAGATGAACAAGGGGACGGGGAAGGAGATGGGAGGGGATGAGCAAGGAGACAGGGAGAAGACAAGGAGAGAAGCAAAGGAGACAAACGAGGAGATGAGCAAGGAGACAGAGGAGGAGAGGAGGAGACGAGCGCGAAGACGAGCAACGAGACAGAGGAGGAGACAAGGAGACGAGCAAGGAGACAGAGGAGGAGACAAGGAGACGAGCAATTAGACAAGGAGACAAGCAAGGAGACAGAGGAGGAGACAAGGAGATGAGGAGGAGACAAGGAGACAAGCAAGGAGACAAAGGAGGAGACAAGGAGATGAGCAAGGAGACAGAGGAGGAGACAGAGGAGGAGACAAGGAGACGAGCAAAGAGACGAACAAGGAGAGAGGGAGGAGAGAAGGAGATGAGCAAGGAGACAGAGGAGGAGACAAGGAGACAAGCGAGGAGACAGAGGAGGAGACAAGGAGACGAGGTTTTAGTTTGGTCCCTCAGACAGAAACAGCAGAGTGTGGGAGGGCATCTGACTCAGGGTTTAGAGTCACTTTTGTCTCATTCATTTTCACAAATACAAATTTAATATTTATAATTTATATTTACAAAAATACACACCTATTTGTAAAGACCAAAATAGAAGAAATAAATAAAATAAAATAAACTGTAAATCTGAAAATTCTGTGATTCTGTTTGTGGATCGACACAGATTTTCCTCTATGACGTTTTTTGAGACATTCACAAACTCAGACGCACAAACACACACGTCCACCAGAGGGCGCTGCTGCTGTTACAGGTTTTAGACTGAGTATGTTTCATAACGTGTAATAAATTCATAACAACACGTCATAATTAATAATCAATAAGGAATTGGCCTCATCGACAATTTATTCATTTTAAGGTCAGTTCCTTGATTGACTGATTGATTATAAATTATGAAGTTTGTTGTTACGAATTTATTGAACTGAATGAAACAAATTTTATCTGTGTGTATGAATCGTTTGGCTGTTCGTAGAAAGTCTCATCTGTGAATTTGTGTAATTGTAAACAGAATCAGATTTTACAAACAGAATTTTCAGTTTCACAATTTATTTTATTATTATTATTATTATTATTTTGCAAATAAAAAAAATATATCTTTACACATCTATTTATAAAGAACGAAATTCAAATTATAAATATTACATTTTGGATGAATTTGTGGATCAAAACCAAACAACAAACCAAACTCTGCATTTGTGAATATTAACAAGACAAATGTGACTCCACAGACGGGAGGGCAGGGTAGAGGGTGGGGGTGTGGGGGTGTATGGGGTGGGAGGGCATCTGACTCTCTCACTCCTGAAGAATGTTTTTGTTTTTGTGGTTAAAGTTTTTTGCTCAGCGTTTTTTTTTTTTTTTTACAGTGCACTTCCTGTCTGAAGACCTGATGGAAAACACATGTGTCTGTGTCCAACCCGGACCCGGACAGACCCGGTCCTGTTCCCCACTAGTCCTGCTCCAAATCCGGGTTTAGTCCTGGTCCAGTCCAAGTTTAGTCCTGGTGTAATCCTGGTTTAGTCCTGGTTTAGCCCTTGTTCAGTCCTGGATTAGTCCTGGTTTAGTCCTGGTTCAGTCCTGGTTTAGTCCTGGTGTAATCCTGGTTTAGTCCTGGTTTAGCCCTTGTTCAGTCCTGGATTAGTCCTGGTTTAGTCCTGGTTCAGTCCTGGTGTAGTCCTGGTTCAGTCCTGGTGTAGTCCTGGTGTAGTCCTGGTGTAGTCCTGGTTCAGTTCTGGTTCAGTCCTGGTTCAGTCCTGGTGTAGTCCTGGTTCAGTCCTGGTTCAGTCCCAGTTCAGTCCCGGTGTAGTCCTGCTGTAGTCCTGGTTCAGTCCTGGTGTAGTCTGGGTTGAGTTCTGGGTTAGTCCTGGGTTTATGCCAGTCTCGCTGCAGTGGGAGGGTCCTGGGGGAGGGTCTGAGCTCAGACCATCACAGAGAGACCAGAGAGAGACCGGGACTGAACCAGGACTGAACCGGGACTGAACCAGGACTGAACCGGGACTGAACCAGGACTGAACCGGACTGAACCAGGACTAGGACTGAACCAGGACAGAACCGGGACCAGAGCAGGATTACAGCGGGACAAGCCCAGGACTGAACCGGAACCAGGACAAGAAGAACAGCAGCACAAGAAGGACAGAGGAGACGAGGAGGTAGGGCACAAGGAGGTAGGAGACGAGGAGGTAGGAGATGAGGAAGTAGGAGATTTATTTAATGGAAACAAAAGTCACATGACTGAAACGTCCAATCAGAGCAGAGCAAAACCACAGCCAGGAATTTGATTTGTGTTTGAGAAAAAAGAGGAAGAGAAAAAGGAGACAAAGAGGAGAAAGAAGAATTAGGCAAGAGAGGAAGAATAGAGGAGGAGGAGGAAGAGGAGGAGGAGGAGTAGTAGAAGCATTACACTAATTAAACGACCACACGCTTGATCCAGAACGTTGCTTCAGTTCAGACAAGAGATTTTATTATTATTACTATTATTTTTGTAAAAACTAAAGGTCAGTGTAAAGTTCTGTGAAAAGGCGTCTTGTTGTGCAGCTTTAGAGTCCCAAAAACACACACATCTATAATCTGTTGTGTTGTGAGTATGTGTCTTTCACTCTGATGCAACATCAGTGTGAACTGGCACCAGTGTGTGTCTTTATTTGTGTGTGTGTGTGTGTGTGTGTATGTGTATGTGTGTGTATGTGTATGTGTGTATTTAAATTTATTTGTTTGGAGGATAAGCCCCTTGAGATCGCCATCTCGTTTTGAGGGGGGTCCTCATAATTACAACAACAAGATGTGTATGTATGTATGTATGTATGTGTGTGTGTGTATGTATGTATGTATGTATGTGTGTGTGTGTGTGTGTGTATGTATGTATGTATGTATGTATGTATGTATGTATGTGTGTATGTATGTTTGTGTGTATGTATGTATGTGTGTGTACGTATGTATGTGTGTATGTGTATGTATGTGTGTATGTGCGTATGTATGTTTGTGTGTATGTATGTGTGTATGTGTATGTATGTGTGTATGTATGTTTGTGTGTATGTATGTGTGTGTACGTATGTATGTGTGTATGTGTATGTATGTGTGTATATGTGTATGTATGTATGTGTGTGTGTACGTGTATATATGTGTGTATGTATGTTTGTGTGTATGTATGTGTGTATATGTGTATGTATGTGTGTATGTATGTATGTATGTGTGTGTGTATGTATGTGTGTGTGTATGTATGTGTGTATGTATGTGTGTATGTGTATGTATGTATGTAAGTATGTATGTTTGTGTGTATGTGTGTGTGTGTGTATGTATGTATGTGTGTGTATGTGCATATATGTGTGTATGTGTGTATATATGTGTGTATGTATGTATGTGTGTGTATGTGTGTATATATGTGTGTATGTATGTATGTATGTGTATGTGTGTATGTATGTATGTATGTATGTATGTGTGTATGTATCTATGTGTGTGTGTATGTGTGTGTGTATGTATGTGTATGTATGTGTGTATGTTTGTGTGTATGTATGTATGTATGTGTGTATGTATGTATGTATGTATGTATGTGTGTATGTATGTATGTATGTATGTGTGTGTATGTATGTATGTATGTATGTATGTGTGTGTATGTATGTATGTATGTGTGTGTGTGTGTGTGTATGTGTGCTTGTATGTAGGTATGTATGTATGTATGTGTGTGTGTGTGTATGTATGTATGTTTGTATGTAGAGTTGGTGTTGTTGTTTTGGGGTCGTTGGGCAAGACACTTTGTTCACTTTATTTGATCTTAAAATAACGTTCTGTTTCTTTGGCAGGAGCATGGAGAGACAGTGACAGGTGAGTCAGGACCAGGACTAGACCAGGACTAGACCAAGACTAGACCAGGACTAGACCAGGACTAAAGAAGGACTGAATCAGGCCTGAGTGTGTCAGACTTCTCTACCTCTCACTGATGCTTTTCACAGAGCTTCCACATTCCTGTGTCTCAGCCAATCACAGCGCAGGAAAAGTTCAAATGCTCCAATCACAGCGCAGCGAAGAGGGCTCAGCCTATTAGAGCACAGCTGGCTCTGGCGAGACGCCGGAATGTGGAAACCGAAAAAACAGAGAAAAAAGTGTTTTTCCACTAAAGAGGAAAAACACAACCAGAACTAAACCAGGACTAAACCAGAACTAAACCAGGACTAAACCAGAACTTAACCAGGACTAAACCAGAACTAAACCAGGACTAAACCAGAACTAAACCAGGACTAAACCAAAACTAAACCAGGAACTAAACCAGAACTAAACCAGGACTAAACCAGAACTAAACTAGGACTAAACCAGAATTAAACCAGAACTAAACCAGGACTAAACCAGAACTAAACTAGGACTAAACCAGGACTAAACCAGAACTAAACCAGAACTAAACCAGGACTAAACCAGAACTAAACCAGAACTAAACCAGGACTAAACCAGAACTAAACTAGGACTAAACCAGGACTAAACCAGAACTAAACCAGAACTAAACCAGGACTAAACTAGAACTAAACCAGAACTAAACCAGAACTAAACCAGGACTAAACCAGGATTAAAGCAGATCTAAACCAGTACTAAACCAGGACTAAACCAGAACTAAACCAGGACTAAACCAGAACTAAACCAGAACTAAACCAGGACTAAACCAGAACTAAACCAGGACTAAACCAGGACTAAACCAGGACTAAACCAGAACTAAACCAGGACTAAACCAGAACTAAACCAGGACTGAACCATGATTACACCAGAACTAAACCAAGACTGAACCAGGACTGAACCAGGACTAAACCAGAACTAAACCAGAACTAAACCAGGACTAAACCAGAACTAAACCAGGACTAAACCAAGACTGAACCAGGACTAAACCAGGACTAAACCAGAACTAAACCAGGACTAAACCAGAACTAAACCAGGACTAAACCAGGAAACTAAACCAGGACTAAACCAGAACTAAACCAAGACTGAACCAGGACTAAACCAGAACTAAACCAGAACTAAACCAGGACTAAACCAGGACTAAACCAGAACTAAACCAGGTCTAAACAAACTTTGATCTGGCTCTAAGTTAATCAGTTTTTTGTTTTGTTTTTTTAAAATTCGTCGCATGGCTCTTAAACTCATGCTTTTATTTTGTAGGAGAAGCGTTTCCATGGCGACGGTGAGCATAGGAAGTTTGATGCTCCACTTCCTGTTGGGTGAGAGAAAAACACAAAGATAAACATTTAACTTTTTGTGTTTTGATGCTGCGCTGTGATTGGTCAGTCTGTGTGTGTGTGTGTTTTGATGCTGTGCTGTGATTGGTCGATCTGTGTGGGTGTGTGTGTTTTGATGCTGCGCTGTGATTGGTCGGTCTGTGTGTGTGTGTGTGTTTTGATGCTGCGCTGTGATTGGTCGATCTGTGTGTGTGTGTGTTTTAATGTTGCGCTGTAATTGGTCAGTCTGTGTGTGTTTTGATGCTGCGCTGTGATTGGTCGGTCTGTGTGTGTGTTTTGATGCTGCGCTGTGATTGGTCGGTCTGTGTGTGTGTTGATTCTGCGCTGTGATTGGTTGGTCTGTGTTTGATTTGATGCTGCGCTGTGATTGGTCGGTCTGTGTGTGTTTGTGTTTTGATGCTGCGTTGTGATTGGTCGGTCTGTGTGTGTGTGTGTTTTGATGCTGCGTTGTGATTGGTCATTCTGTGTGTGTTTTAGGTCTGTTCCTCGTTGCTCCCGAAGGGGGCGTCGTCTCCCTGGAGCTGCTCCCCTCAGACTCCAGAGTCGTCCTCGAACAGAACTCCAACTACACCACGGTCAGAACTTAGACCCGGTTTAGTCCTGGTTTAGTCCTGGTTCAGTCCTGGTTTAGACCTGTTAAGTCCTGGTTCAGTCCTGGTTTAGACCCGGTATAGTCCTGGTTTAGACCCGGTTTAGACCTGGTTTAGTTCTGGTTTAATCCCAGTTTAGTCCTGGTTTAGACCCGGTTTAGTCCTGGTTTAGTCCTGGTTTAGTCCTGGTTTTGACCTGGTTTTGACCTGATTTAGACCCGGTTTAGACCCGGTTAAGTCCTGGTTTAGACCTGGTTTAGTTCTGCTTTAGACCTGGTTCAGTCCTGGTTCAGACCTGGTTTAGACCTGGTTTAGACCTGGTTCAGACCAGGTTCAGATCTGCTTCAGACCTGGTTCAGTCCTTGTTTAGTCCTGGTTTAGACCTGGTTCAGACCTGGTTTAGACCTGGTTTAGTCCTGGTTTAGACCTGGTTTAGACCTGGTTTAGACCTGGTTCAGACCTGGTTCAGTCCTGGTTTAGACCTGGTTTAGACCTGGTTTAGTCCTTGTTTAGTCCTGGTTTAGACCTGGTTCAGTCCTGGTTTAGACCTGGTTCACACCTGGTTCAGACCTTGTTTAGACCTGGTTTAGTCCTGGTTTAGACCTGGTTCTTGTCGCTCAGGTGTGCTCGGGCTGGAGTGATGTCACCTGGGCGTTGCCTGGAGACGGTGTTGTGGGCGTGTCCGTGGAGGACCTGGGCTCCTCCTCCGTGCTCCGCCTCTCGAACGCCACCTGGAGACAGTCCGGGAGATACACCTGCTCCGAACCGGACTCGGACCAGAGCCGGACACTGGACCTGTTCGTGCCCGGGACAGGTGAGTCTGGAATGTTCCGCAGTGTGGCATTAAACTGATCTAACTGGAGCCGCTTTAAAGAGACTTTCATCTTCTCTGATTGGCTCTGTGTGTCTCTGCTCGTCTCTGATTGGCTCTGTGTGTCTCTGCTTGTCTCTGATTGGCTCTGTGTGTCTCTGCTCGTCTCTGATTGGCCCTGTGTGTCCCTGCTCGTCTCTGATTGGCTTGTGTGGCCTCAGGTCCGTCGGATTGGTTCGTGCCGTCCTCTGACTCGGTGGTGATGCGTCGGACTCGGGTGGCGCTGGTTCCGTGTTCCGTGTCCGATCCGGATCTGGAGGCGGAGCTTTGGGAGCGCTCGGGGTCGGACAGGATCCCGGTGAGTCCGATCCGGTTCGATCCGGCCCTGGGTTTCACGGCGGAGCTGAACGACTCGTCGTACGTGTGCAGCGCTCGCCGCGGCCAGCAGGAGGCGCTGTCCCAGGTCTTCTACGTGTACAGCGCCGTCGGTGAGGACACAGAGACACAGGAGGGTCCAACACCTGCCCGTCTCCATGGAGATTTATGTCTGTGCTTGGGATGTTCCGCAGTGTGGAATTAAACAAACAGTAACAGAAAAACAGACCTTAGACCGGGTTTAGTCTTGGTTCAGATCTGGTTTCATTCTAATTTACAGTTAGTTTAGTCCTGGTTTAGTCCTGGTGTAGTCTTGGTTTAGTCCTGCTTTAGTCCTGGTTTAGTTCAGGTTTAGTCCTGGTGTAGTCTTGGTTTAGTCCTGGTTTAGTCCTGGTTTAGTTCTGGTTTAGTCTTGGTTTAGTCCTGGTTTAGTCCTGGTGTAGTCTTGGTTTAGTCCTGGTTTAGTCCTGGTTTAGTTCAGGTTTAGTCCTGGTGTAGTCTTGGTTTAGTCCTGGTTTAGTCCTGGTTTAGTTCTGGTTTAGTCTTGGTTTAGTCCTGGTTTAGTCCTGGTGTAGTCTTGGTTTAGTCCTGGTTTAGTCCTGGTTTAGTTCTGGTTTAGTCTTGGTTTAGTCCTGGTTTAGTCCTAGAATGCCGTGCAGGTGAAACTCTCTCATGACATTTACTCGTCTCTTTCTGATTTTCTTCTTCCTCGTCCTCGTCCTCAGGTCCAGAGGAGCTCCTGGTGGACCTCTCGTCGTCGTCTGTGGTCCTGAGGTCTGGAGATCCTCTCATGGTGAACTGCACCGTGTCCGAGTCTGAGTCTGTTTACTTCACCTGGGACTTTCCCCGACAACGGCACCCGGACGCACAGGTACACAACCAACGCACAACAACACACAACAACACAACTGACGCACAACAACACACACCGACACACAACAACACACACCGACACACAACACACAAACTGACGCACAACAACACACACCGACACACAACAACACACACCGACACACAATAACACACACCGACACACAACAACACACACCGACACACAACAACACACACGACACACACACACACACACACACACGACACACAACAACACACACACGACACACAACAACACACACACGACACACAACAACACACACACACGACACACAACACACACACACACACACACACAACACACACACGACACACAACACACACACACACAACAGACACACAACAACACACACCGACACACAACAACACAACTGACGCACAACAACACACACCGACACACAACAACACACACCGACACACAACAACACACACCGACACACAACAACACACACACACACACACAACAACACACACACCGACACACAACAACACACACCGACACACAACACACACCGACACACAACAACACACACCGACACACAACAACACACACCGACACACACACACACACACACACGACAACAACAACACACACACACACAGACACACAACAACACACACTGACACACAACAACACACACCGACACACAACACACACAACACACACACAACACACACACGACACACAACAACACACCGACACACAACAACACACACACACACACACACTGACACACAACAACACACACACACACACACGACACACAACAACACACACTGACACACAACACACACACACACACACGACACACAACACAACACACACTGACACACACAACAACACACACACAACGACACACAACAACACAACTGACGCACACAACAACACACACCGACACACAACAACACACACTGACACACAACAACACACACCGACACACAACAACACAACTGACGCACAACAACACACACCGACACACAACAACACACACCGACACACAACAACACAACTGACGCACAACAACACACACCGACACACAACAACACACACTGACACACAACAACACACACCGACACACAACAACACACACAACTGACACACAGCACAACAACACACACCAACCGACACACAACAACACACACACACAACACACACACTGACACACAACAACACACACACAGACACACAACACACACACACACACTGACGAACAACAACACACACACACACACACACACACAACTGACACAACACACACACACACACACAACACAACACAACACAACACACACACAACACACACAACACACAACACACACAACACAACTGACGAACAACAACACCGACACACAACACGACACACAACAACACAACTGACGACAACAACACACACCGACACACACAACACACACACACACTGACACACAACAACACACACACGACACACAACAACACACACACAACACACACAACACACACAACACACAACACACACTGACAACAACACACACAACTGACGCACAACAACACACACCGACACACAACACACAACACACAACAACACAACTGACGAACAACAACACACACCGACACACAACAACACAACTGACGCACAACAACATACACCGACACACAACAACACACACTGACACACAACAACACACACCGACACACAACAACACACACCGACACACCAACGCCACCCAGGCGCACAGGTACAACAACACAACTGTCACACAACAACACGCAACAACACACACTGACGCACAACAGACACACAACAATGTCACCCAGTGCACAGGTACAACAACCCAACTGACGCACAACTGACACACACCGACATACGACAGATGCACAACAACACAACCCAACACACGACAACGCCACCCGGACGCACAGGTACAACAACCAACGCACAACTGACGCACAACAACACAACTGACACACAACAGATGCACAACAACATACACCAACACACAACAGACGCACAACAACACACTTGTGCTTGAGCCATCAAACACAGACCTGAAAACAACACGACACGTCCTGGATTCATCTTCAGATTTATAATAGGCTGGGAGCCAGGTCCACCCCTCAGGATGTTTTTTACTACCTTTTTTTCACTATTATTTCCTGTTATCTTATATCTTGGGCCATAACGAGTTGATAGGGACCAACCCCAGCTCGGCCCCGTTTGGTCTCAGGGCCCAAAAACACACTTTTTAAGAAAAGCTATTTGCGAAATTATGTAACTGTAAATATTAAGGTACTGAAACCGCATACATGGTCAAATAACCCTTAAATTTGGCATGGTGTATCCTGACACATGGGGGAAACTAGCAGAAAAATATTTTGGGGCTTGCTGCCTTTCTACTGTCAAATATCACCCTCAATATATCCTAAAAGACTAAAAAATGTCTGTCCGCCTGACAAATTGTCATCAAAAGTGATCATTTTCAAGCATTTTATTGCATATATCACTGCCTCAAATGTACATAAAAAAGACTTCCCATGTTCATAAGCTTCAATTTAAGCCCAAGATGACCTTTGTATCTAGAGGGAAACACCTGCTATGACCAAAGTTCTTCACTGTACCTCAAATCGGCAGGAGGCAGAACTTTCAGGCTTTACCATTACTTATGGGAATAAGCAGGATTTTTTTTATAGAAACAATATTTGAAAAGAGTTGACTTATGTACTGCTGTACTATATGAAGTGAATTACATTAAAAGTGAATAATATTAATTACATTAATAGTGACTAATATTAAAACTCAAGGTCAGAGTGCAAGATAAAACTATGGTAACCAGGTTACACATACAAACTCACACAACCAACCAACATCCTGACCCTTCATGCAACATCCCATCAGAAGTTATTTTCCAAAGACAATTGTGAGAGACGCTGATCATTTTTTCTGGTTATAAGAAGAGATTGAGTCTATTGGGAGATTGGTGTCCTTTTATAGGCGTCCATGACTCCTAGACTGAACATTAACTATTGTCAGATTGTGAGATAACAACCAACCAAAGTAGATGTGGGAGACAAAGTATGGTGTGTGTACGTGTGTGTGTGTGTGTGTGTGTGCGTGCACATGTCTGTGCCTGATTTCATCAATAAGATCAGTTAAGTTTCTGTTTGAGACTAAACTTCAATGAAATTGGAAACACTGGGTCTCAGTTCTTGTATATTTACACATTGAATACTGCACATTATTTCATTGTTGTAATGAATACACTGATTTTCAGATGGTGTAATGCAACAATATACTATTGAAAGCAGACAACATGCCAAAGAAACAACAAAATGATGAAGACTGGACAGCTGGTCAGAGTTCTTCAAAGCAGAAACCTCCACCTCAGCATCTCTGCAAAACTACAGCCTGCATAGTTACAAGGGGACAGTAAATGATAGGTTCATACTTTTGTCTTCTAAGACTGATCCACTGAGTGCATTTACTGCGATCCATGATATAAAAAAGAAACTTCACACACAAACATTTGATTGTGCTGGTTAGCAAGATGTTGTTGAATCAGTTACTGATGTCTTTGGATTATGACGACCATAAAAGCTGCCAACACATGTTTTTTCCAAAATGCTAACAATGCTTTAAGCAAGTGTCAAGACAATTTCTCAATGAAACAGAAACGTGAGCTTGTGGATTCTTTAGTTTTGTTCAGGAGTTATTGCATATTTTGCAGTAGTAGTGCAGTGAAGTAAGTGTCCGGCAAGAGATACAGCTTCCAATCAAGTGTATACAAAAATTTAGAGAAAAAAGCTCTGGAACTCAGTGATGAAGACCTGCTGTGCACAGAGGAGTTGATCTTTTTGCCAAGGAGGCAAGTTTTATGAATGTTGTCACAAACAGTACATGGTAACACAAGCACAGTCTGACCATTTTTTGTCTGAGGTTATGACTAGTGATGTCAGCAACAGCCGCTTCTCTGAATTCTGTTAAGGTTTCATTACACAAAGCTGTGAGATGAGCAAGTTTAACAACCTGACCCTTTTCCATAACTTCAGTTTCTCTCTGGTCATGCACCCAACTAAAAGCTTTACTGATCAGTGCCTTCTATGTAGCTGTTTCAGACTCTGCAGCTGAAGTGTCAGACTCACGTTTCTGTCTCATGGAGACATTCTCTGCTTGACACATATTATTATTATTATTATTATTATTATTATTATTATTATTATTAAAGGTGGTTTTAAAGAGGTCTTGTTCACGAGTGAGGGGAGGATGGAGCGTGAGTTTGACAGGCGGATCGGTGCAGCTTCGGCAGTGATGCGGTCGCTGTATCGGACCGTTGTGGTGAAGAGGAGCTGAGCCGAAAGGCGAAGCTGCCGATTTACCGGTCAGTCTTCGTTCCTACTCTCACCTATGGTCATGAGCTCTGGGTAGTGACCGAAAGGACGAGATCGCGGATACAAGCGCTCGAAATGAGTTTCCTCCGCAGGGTGGCTGGGCGCTCCCTTAGAGATAGGGTGAGGAGTTCAGTCACACGGGAGGAGCTCGGAGTAGAGCCGCTGCTCCTCCACGTCGAGAGGAGCCAGTTGAGGTGGCTCGGGCATCTGTTCCGGATGCCTCCTGGGCGCCTCGGGAGGTGTTCCGGGCATGTCCCACCGGGAGGAGGCCCTGGGGAAGACTCAGGACACCCTGGAGGGACTATGTGTCTCGGCTGGCCTGGGAACACCTTGGGATTCCCCCGGAGGAGCTGGAGGACATGTCTGGGGTGAGGGAAGTCTAGGAGTTCCTGCTTAGGCTGCTGCCCCCGCGACCCGGCCCCGGATAAGCGGAAGAAAATGGATGGATGGGTTTTAAAGAGATGGTTTTTAGGGCTTTTTTTTTTTTTTTTAAACATGGGGAGTGTGGATGAGTCTCTGATGTGTTTGGGGAGGGAGTTCCAGAGGGTGGGGGCAGCAGTGGAGAAGACCCTGTCCCCCCAGGTCTTATGTTTCCTCCTGCTGGGGGGACACAGGAG